TGCTTTGCTTGACTGGTCTTGTGACCCCTTGTTCTCCCCCACTTTGCCTATGGGGGTGTGTCAGATTTGTATGACATAGCTGTTATAGGCTATAGTGGGGTAGCACATATGGGGTACAGCTTTCTAGGGTTGTATTTGTACCCAACTTTCACTTAGTCATTTCATTCTCGTTTCTTCTCACCTACCTCGCTAGGGCTCGCCTGAGTCTTCGTCGGTGTGTGTTAACGCGATCACGATAAAACACGCCGTAGCGGCAGGACCTGACGTGTACGCGGTCGCCATTCGGGAAGCCGAGGCAGCAGACAAAGGAGGGGATTTACAGAAACTGCTGGCCGACGTACCGAGTGACCTGGCAGCACTGTTGAAGCAGTACAGCGACATTTTCCAGGACGATTTACCGACGGGACTGCCACCTCAGTGACCGCACGACCATAGGATAGAGTTAGAACCAGGGGCACAGCCAACAGTATAGCGACAGTTTCGACTGACCCAGCCCGAACTGGACGAACTGAGGAAGCAGCTCGATTACCTACTCGAGAAGGAATTCATTCGCCCTAGTTCGTCGCCTTTCGCAGCACCGATACTGTTCATATCGAAAAAAGACGGGGGATTTTGCATGTGCATAGACTATCGAACACTGAACAGGGTTACCATCAAATCCCGTTACCCCATCCCGCGAGCCGACGAACTGATCGACCAACTGCGCACAGCCCGGGTTTTCTCGAAAATCGACCTTCGAGGGGGTTACCACCAGATTCGTGTCAACCCGCCCGACTGCCCTAAGACCGCATTTCGCACACGCTACGGATCCTTCGAATACACCGTCATGCCCTTCGGATTGACCAACGCTCCCGCCACTTTTCAAATGACCATGAACGATGCTTTCCGCCCGCTCTTAGATAAGTGTGTCATAGTATACCTGGATGACATACTGATTTACAGCCCTGACAGACCACAACACTTACAGGATATCAAAGCAGGTTTTAAAATACTGAGTGAAAACCGCCTACTCACAAAAGCGTCTAAGTGTGAGTTTTTACACGACCGCCTAGAGTTTTTGGGACACGTTATTTCAGCTGCACGAGTGGAAATAGACCCGAAGAAAATCGCGACGATTCAAGCATGGCACGCGCCGACCAACTTGACCGAGTTGTAGAGTTTTTTGGGGTTCGTCAACTACGTGCGCCGGTTCGTCCCCAACATGGCGAAGCTGACTGCCCCGCTGACAGGCCTGGTGAGGAAGGGGGTTGAGTACACGTGGGGGGAGAAAGAGCAAGCTGCCTTCTCGGCCCTCGAAAACATTTTGTGCTCACCGCCCGTGCTTCACATCGCAGATGTCGGAAAATATAATTTAATATTTTCTTTTTGTAATTGCGTGTAGGATTGGTTACAGTAATTATAGCGTTTTCCTATTTGGTGGTGCACCTTTCTTGCTTGTTCTTTCATATTTGTACCCTTGAACCTATAGTGAATCTCCCTTTTCTCTCGACACTTTTCCTCTCAACTCGAACTCACTAGCCATGGCTCCTAAGCCTTGCTAGAAACCTTGACAGCAGACCCACACCATCCGTTCGAGCTCGTCATTGTGGGAGCAGTACTGTTGCAGGATTTCGAGAATGGCCTCCAGCCAATCGCGTATGAGTCCCGCAAGCTGCACCCGCCCGAACGCAACTACCTGATACACGACCGCGAAATGTTGGCGATCGTGCACGCGTTCAAGGTTTGGCGGTGTTACCTGAGTGGCGCCGACGTGACAGTACGGACAGACCACCGATCACTACAGTACTTATACGCCCAACCGAATCTCAATCGACGACAGATTCGCTGGTTGGACTACCTCGAGTCCAACTACACGGTTACGCACAAGAAAGGCGCATCCAACATCGCCGACGCACTCACCCGCCCTACCGCCCAACTCCACGCCATCCTACTCGCCCAGACCAACCCGCTTTTAACAGGCCTATTTCTCAGAATCCCAACCACTAGACCATTGGGATAAAAGGGCTTGTTTCAGTAGCGGGTCAGTGCGCCCATAACCCCCCAGGCAATCGTGCCTGTAACCCTTCCCTAGGATCGATCGGGGATCACCAGTGGACCTCTGACACCCCCCCGCACTGGGATGCCCGGAGTGCATACACCGGGATTCGAACCCGAGACCTTCGCTCTGGATACCATCTCAGAATCCCAACCACTAGACCATTGGGATAAAAGGGCTTGTTTCAGTAGCGGGTCAGTGCGCCCATAACCCCCCAGGCAATCGTGCCTGTAACCCTTCCCTAGGATCGATCGGGGATCACCAGTGGACCTCTGACACTATTCAGCCACATATACCGGACCGACCCATTTTTCACGACTGGAATCTCACAGCAACTAGCAGAAGCTAAATGAGTTTATTACGTAAAAACAGGCACCAACCGCATCTGGATACTCGTGTACTGACTACTGAGGGAGCTGCTACTGCAGGAGGCACACGACGGAATTACCTCGGGACATTTTGGGGCAGAAAAAACGCGACAGCAACTGCAGCGGTATTACTACTGGCCGGAGCTGTTGACCGACGTGCAGCAGCACGTGGGCTCGTGCCCTACGTGTCAGGTGATGAAGAGCTCGAGGAAGCGGAAGGCGGGTCAATTGCAGCCGATACCACCGCCCGAGCGCGCCTGGCAGCAGGTCACCATGGACTTCGTCACAGGGTTACCTTCGAACCCTGGGGGTAACGACGCGGTGATGGTCGTCGTTGACAGGTTGACGAAGATGGCACACTTCGCTGCGTGCAAAAAGTCGATCTCAGCCGAGGAAACCGCTTGTCTGTTCATCGCAGCCGGTGTTCGCCTGCACGGGATACCAGCAGCGATTATGAGCGACAGGGACGAGAAGTTCACCAGCAACTTCTGGAAGAACCTCTGGGAGCACTTTGGGACCAGGCTACAGTTCAGTTCGTCATACTACCCCGAGACCGACGGTCAAACGGAGCGGACGAATCAGACGATGGAGCAGTTGATCCGTGCCACGTGCGACGACCCCACTACCTGTGAGCAGCAGCTGCCGCTGATCAAGTTCGCGTACAATAATGCCACGTCAGCGACGACGCAGCAGTCCCCCTTCTACCTGAACTACGGGCAGAACCCTACAGTGCCCATGACGCCGAGTCCGGACAACCCAACACCACATGCATAGCAATTCGCCGAAATTCTGCAAGCTGCCCGCACCAGAGCCGCAGGAGCAATTAAAAAAGCAAATGTCATCGCTAAGCGCAACGCTGACCGCCACCGCCGCCCAGTCACATACCAGTCAGGGGATTATGTACTACTCGACACCATAATTTGTGACTGCCCGACGTACCAAAACTCCAACCGCGCTACTGTGGCCCATTCCAAATCAGCCACATGATCACGCCAGTAACCGTGCACCTACTATTACCGACCGACTGGTACATCAGCCCTTCGTTCCACGTCAGCCTGCTTCGCCCCTACATCCCAACCACAAACCAACTGCCTCCCACCCTGCAACATCGCATACAGCAGCAGTCGTTGTTCGTCCGTTACTGCTAACGGGGCTTCGCCGACTTCGCGCGCACTGTTTCACCAAACCTCGCTCTGCTGGCCTGGCCGTGTCGGCCTACGCCTCGGAACTAGCCCGAGCCTCGCTCCAGCATAGCACTAGCTAGCTCGCATGCACCGCGTTACCGTTTGCATGTTTCGCGTATAAATGTTCGCTCACATTTTGTACTCGTTTGACACCTTAGTGCAATTCTCGCAACTTCGATTCATTGCACCCGTAACAACTCATCAACAGTGGAACAAGACTGTAAGGACCAATACGCTGGTCAGCCAACCAGGCCAACGTGGCACAGCCTGATTGCATCCCGAAGCTTCCGAAGCCCCTGACAATCTCGGAATATACACGTGGCAGGAACCAAAACTGCTCCCATAGCCTAGAGCGTAGGCTGGACACTTCTCTTCCCTCCCTTCCCCAATTCCCTTCCCTTGGCTGTCTTGGGCCTTGCTTGCTGCAGGTAGTGAACATAGGTGACAGGTGAAATAAATTTCACGTGTCGTACCCCTAATACATCGAAGGTCAGCGCGTCGGCTCGTCGTACGCGTTTCTTCGTCAATCCGCGTCGTGCGGCGATCCGTCCTCGCGATGCTGGGCGTTCTCACAGCTATCCCGCTCATCGCGGCGGGCAATCTTGTCCGTGTCTCCCTCCATCAACACCGAGCCGCGGCCAGCCAATTACGTCCCACGCCCGCCTTTCACGCGAGCCTTCACAATGCCTTTCCGAGAACCAGAAGAAGCATCACTCGCGCAGTAGAATGCACGCGGGCTTCCAGTCAACTCTCTCGCACCTCAGAATGTGACAATAGCGAAGCTCGTGCGTCGGCGTCATTCTCAGCTCCTCCCGTTACGGTTCAGCCCGTCGCCTCCCCTCCTTCTCTCCCACTCTCCCTGCTATCTCTCCTCCCGCTGCTTCCGCTGACCGTCGCCGATCGCGTCCTGGCGGAGTCCGTTCCGCTCTTCGAGAACGGCGCCGACGTGCTGACGGCTGCGGGCAGCGGCGAACCCGTTACCAACGGCATCATTTCGCTGCTCTTCGGCGTCGCTGTCGTCGGATTGGTCGTTCTGACTGGCGGGGTGAGTGCCTCCCTGAAATTAGATAGAACGATAAAAATTCACGAAGCCCTTTCGAGGTTCAATCAGTGGTCAGACACTTTTGAGAACTCTCAAGTCCAAATTGTCAAGCAAGGAAGGAACCTTCGGAACCGTACTGCTTTCGATTGCAGCTATCGAGTCAACGTTGGTCAACATTTGGCCCAATGTGGTTAACCTTAAAGAATTTTGTAAAGGGAACCTACGGGCAGGAAGGAAACTGAACGCAGGTCACTGAAAGCACACCTCTTGTTCCAGTCCTGGCCATTTGGCCTGTGAATTTCTCCCAGACGATACGCCCCTGCTGTCCGTGCCACAGTGCCAGCAATGCACGCACCAGGAGCACGGGGGGCATGTTGCAGCACTACTCGGGGTGGCAGGGTGAGGGGAAGGTGGAGAAACTCCATACGACCGCTTTACGATATCTCCTTCCCTCGTCACGCCTCTCCTGTCCCTTATCCATCTCTGCTTGCTCCGTTCCCGTACCCTGTCGTCTAACCCACGCACCCGGCCTTCCACCCGCCTTCCCTCACTCCCACACCCCTGTGCCTTTTACCACGAGCAGGTGGCTAGCAACAGCGGAGTTGTTGAGACGTCTCAAGGCTCAAAATCATGCACCTTTCTAATCAGAGGCCCTCAGTGCGTCAGGTGGGGTACCTGGCGTGCACGGACTGCCTGTGACTCCCCTCTTCGAGCCCCCTCTGTGTCTCTGCCCCGTCTTCCCCCCCCTCCCCCTCCAACCCACGGTGAGAAAGCTGGAGTACCTGGGGCGAATTCTGAGGCGCCTAAAAAATCTGCCCCGTCTTCTCCCCACTTCCCCCCCAGCTCGCGGTGAGAAAGCTGGAGTACCTGGCGGCAGCGGAGCCTGTAACCCCCCTCTGTTTCACTCTCCTCTCCTCTCATCGCTGCCCTCTTTCTCACCCCTCGCCCCCCCGCCCTCTTCCCCCCCCCCCAACCTTCTTACCCCCCACGAGCTGGGGAGATATCTTACACGGCCTGGCAGGACAAGAGGGAGATGGAGAAGCTGGCAGCAGCGGAGCCGGTGAAGCGGGCTCTTCGTCCATCCCTGCTCTCCTCTTCCCTGCTGCTCCCCTCTCTCTCTTCTCTTCACTCCAGGTGGGGTACCTGGCGTACATGGACTGGCAGGACAAGAGAGGGATGGAGAAGCTGGCAGCAGCAGAGCCGGGAAATTCCCCTTTCACCCATTCCTGCTCCCACTTCCTTTCCTTCCCCCCACTCCAGGTGGCGTACCTGGCATACACGGACTGGCAGGACAAGAGGGAGATGGAGAAGCTGGCAGCAGCGGAGCCGGTGAATTTCCTTCTCATCCATCCCTGCTCTCCACTTTCCTGCTGCTATCCCCTCTCCTTTCTACCTCTTCCCCAGGTGGCGTACCTGGCGTACACGGACTGGCAGGACAAGAGGGAGATGGAGAAGCTGGCAGCAGCAGAGCCGGTGAAGCGGCCGACAGCCACATCGGAGATCCGCGCCGCCATGAAGTCGCCGCCCCGCGCCACGCCCAAGGGGTTTGGGAAGAAGTCAGAGAAGGAGATTGCGGAGGAGAGCGATGTTTGAGTGAATAAAGCGTTGTAGATATGGCTTTTGATTTGAGGTGCCTTGAAGAGGGTCTCATGGCATCTCTTTCACCCAGGGGTTGAAATGGGTTGAAGGAAATCAAGGAGCGTATCGCTTGAGCTAAAGATGTTCTATAAAGAAGGTGTTTTTTTTAGTGAGTGTATGCAACAGGAGGAATGAGAATATAGATGGCGGTCTCTACCCCGTGTATAATGTAGCTCTTCACATGTAACCATTGTTGGAGTGTGAAGGAAATTGTACTTGGCATTCCAGTAGGTGCAGTAGTATCGCACCTGACTCTGTCGAAGCAGTAACTACCGCAGTATCGGATCAGCCCGTAACAAGGGCAGGAAGGTCAACAGTCGCAAGAGTCAACTGTCGCCACTGTTGACCATCTGGACCGACGCTTGACTTACCATCAAGGAATGGCAACAGGCGTAACCGTACAGGTTATATGCAGCGACTCGGTAACAAGAAAGGCAGTACAACAGTCAGAGTCACTGTAGAAATGCATGTAAAACAGTTACCGTATAATAAGGGAATGTACCCCTTAGAGTACATGGCTAGACTAGGACTATTTATATTCCTTGTATTCTATCTTTTAATCAACTTGGTCATTTACATTCACTATGATCTGAGTTCTTACAAGACTTCCGCTACCAACTCTACCAAAGCACTTCCTATCCTGTCCAAGATCCTCACTCTAACATGGTATGAGAGCTAGTTTGGATTATAGGATCTGCTAAAAGGGGCTTCCGACAAAGCTTCTTTAGAAATTAAACCTCAACATCAACGACATCAAGGGCATCAACATGCCAGGCGCAGACTGCGGAGAGGCTGGGGAAAACCCAATGCAACCCTCCACCAATGTCGCCTCTACTACGACGACCGAGGACATAGCGCTCCTCGAGCAGCTGATCTCCCGCATCAGTGCACTGGAGAGCCACCAGCCCATGAGCATTGACGGCTCAAGTTACGCCCGAAAACCTCCCGATCCTCAAGGAGCTGGATCTGAACGATCCTTCACCTTCGACAACCGCGGAGCTCAAGGATCTGCTCAAGCACAACAAACACATTACGAGGCAATGGCTTCAATGCAGAGCAAGTTCCTCTCCACGTCGAAGCTCAGAACTACCAAGCCCTTCGACGGACAAGACTTCTACACGTGGAGTTTCGAATTCGAACTACTCGCTCATGGCGCTCAGATCTGGATGTACTACGACGGATCATATCCCTTCCCAACAAACGGCTCACCTCAGGAGAAGACGCAATACTACAACGAATCACTCCTGGCCTTCACCGTCCTGATCCGGAAATTGTCGCCCGAAGAACAACTGAGCATTCGCCCCTTCAAAAACGAATGGGCGCCCGCGCAACAGTCCTGGGAACATCTGCGCACCTGCCACATGGCAACAGATTCAGTGATATTAAGAACTAAGGCAAGGATGATGGGATTCCGTGAAGGGGTGGGTACAAGACTAGGGTATCGAGAAAGTTTCTGTACCCCCTAGTGCTAACCCCCATACAGCCTAGACAACCTAAACAAGTATATATAATTTGACACACCCTCCTAGGCGAAATGTGGGATAGCCAGAGCAAGCAACGGTCACAAATCCAGTCAAGCGAAGAAACAAAACACAGCTCAGGGTGGATCACGTCACCACGAAGTCTGAGCACAAGCAAAAGGCCACAAGGCCAGTTCACATTCAGAGATATATACGTAACAACAACAGCACAGTGATCTCTACCTACCAGAGCAAGCATGCAGGAATATATATAGATCACAGTACAAACAAAGCCTACAGCAAGTAAGGAAGTGTGGGCACTAGGCCTAACAAGGTGCAGAAACGCTGATGATCACCAAGCGGAAGCGCCTTGGTGAATATATCAGCAGTGTTGGCCCGAATGGCCACGTAAGCAAGACGAAGCTGGCCACGCTGCTGCAGCTCTCGAGCAAGGAAGTAACGCAGAGCGATGTGCTTTGTTCTGTGCTCCAGTCTGTGCTCCTGACACAAGGCAATGGCGGCCTTGTTGTCGACGTACAGAACTGGAGGAGAACGAGGCCGCTCTCCCAAGTCGGTCAGCAGGTCGGTGAGCCAGCGTAGCTCCTGTGCAGCCATGGTTGTGGCGTAGATCTCGGCCTCACAGCTGGAGCCGAGAACTGAAGACGAACGTGTAGAACGCCAGGAAATTGAACCAGATTCAAGGCTGAATGTGTAACCCTGTGACGACCGCTGCGTAGCCTGGTCGTCAACCCAAGAGGCGTCCGAGTGACCAGTGAGGACAACGTCACCCCGTCCTCCAAGCACGAGCCCCATAACCGATGTACTGCACAAGTAGCGTAGTACCCTCTTAGCAGCATCCATGTGCACCTTTCGGTGCCGACCAGGAGCCACGTAGCGAGCCAAAAGGCCAAGAGGGTACGCAAGGTCAGGATGAGTGCAGGTCATCAGGTACATGATGCAGCCCACTAGCTCTGGGCAAGGACCACTCGGCTCTACGGACTCGTCCGAAGGTGGAGCTGAGAGCGAGTGACCTGTAGCCAGAGGAGTGGCCTGTGCTGAGGACCAGGTGAAGCCGAAGCGCTGAAGGACCTGCTGCACCATGTGTGACTGAGTCAATGTGATGGTGCGGCGTGCTCTGTCCCGGGTGATCTGCAGGCCAAGGTAGCTGCGCAACTCACCCAGGTCTGTGCACGTGTGTCTCTTCTACAGCTCCGACTTCACCAGGGCTAGCGCCTCAGTGTCAGCAGTGGCAAAGACCAAGTCGTCGACGTACACGAGGATGTAGAATAGCGGCAGCAAAGTGTCGGTGCGCAGAAACAGCGACGGGTCAGCAGTCGACGGGGCAAACCCAAGAGCCGCAAGAGTCGTCCTCAGTGTGTTCTGCCACTCACGTGGCGCCTGGCGGAGACCGTAGACTGGCCGTCGGAGGTTCCACTGTGTACCAGGAGGGAATGACCCAGTGAAGCCAGGTGGACGGCGCAGCCAGATCTCCTCGTGCAGGTTGCCCTGTAAGAAAACTGTGCTGAAGTCAAGAGAGTGAAGCTCGTAGTCACGCTGAGCGGCAACGTGCAGCAGCACCCGAAGAGTAGTCATCTTCAGGGTGGGGGAGAAGGTCTGGAAGAAGTCAACTCCCTCTCGCTGACTGAAGCCTCGAGCAACGTAACGAGCCTTGAAGACAGGCGGAGAACCTGGCGGTCGCTTCACCCTGAAAATCCACATGCCACTGACGATGTTCGCCCCAGGAGGGGGAACCTTGTCGACGTAGGTGCTTGTGGAATTCCAGGATGCCATCTCTGCGTCCATGGCTGTCTGCCACTGAGAGGAGTAGGGACCCTCGATCGCCTCAGCGTACGATCGGGGAGTCGGGATGTCTGGTGCATCCGGGTCTCCCTCAGGGGCAAGCAGCATGGACACGAGATGAGGCGCAGCGGCTGCAAGACACTCAAGGTCCTCCTGCCTGTCCTCAAGGACGTTCGTGCCAAGAGCATACTCACCCCCGATGGACGGAGGACAGACAGACTCAGACTCAGCAACAAGACTAGCGGCGTAGTCCAGACGACAGTAAGCAGCAAAGTTGACAAGTTCAGCGACTAAGGCAGACGCAGCAGCAGACTCAAACGACGGGTCGGCGACAACAGTGGCTAGGAGATGCGTGACAGTAGGGTGCTCAGCACGAAAACGGTCAGACTCAGGTTCAGCAACGGCACGCAGAGAGGACGCAGGCGGAGACGGCAAGTGAACACGTGGCGGCGGAGAGGAAGGACGACGGACGACAAGGGAAGGGCCGGGGACAGCCGGCTGACGCTGATGAGGAACACGACGACTGGAACGACCGGAACGGACAGGTGAGATAGGACGCAACGCATGCTCACGACGCTCAGCAAGGCCCTCTGTCTACTCGGTGTAGGGAGAAGGAGCAGGCAGAGGTGAGCCAGGCTGTAACGGAAGACCAGTAGACGACGGGAGGCTAAGAACCTGGCGAAGCACAGAGTCAGGCGGTGGCAGAGACGACGGAGCCGGCGGAGCAAAGAACAGGCGCGGCTATGCAGTGCCACCAGCACCAGCAGCTCCAGCACCCTCAACAGCTCCAACACCTCCAGTAGCTCCAGTACCCTCAGCAACTCCAGCTCCTCCAGTAGCCCCAGCACCCTCAGCAGCTCCAGCACCCTCAGCAGCTCCAGCACCTCCAGCAGCTCCAGAACCCTCAACACCAGCCCCACCTGGTGCAGCACCCCTAGAACCGGCACCTCCAGTCCCAGGGTCTCCAACCGCAGTGCCACCAGCAGCAGCACCCTCAGACACGCCACTGTCAGCCCCCGCAGCTCCAGTACTCCCAGTACGAGCACCTCCGGGACCAGCGACACTAGCACCTTCAGCAGGCAAAGGACCAGCACCACTCCCAGCTCCAGTGACGCCATCAGATGAACCCCCAGCAGTAGAGCCCTGAGGTGCAGAAGCGCGACGCTGACGACGACCGTACCAGTCGTGCAGCTGCTAGGAGGTGAGAGGCACACGCGGACGAAGACGGCTACTCCAAGGAGACCGCGTAACAGCAGTCTCAGGACCCTCAGGCGACTCACCCCCAGACTCAGCACCCCCAGGCTCCACACACGCAGGCTCAGCACCCCCAGACGCAGCACCCCCAGACGCAGCACCCCCAGACGCAGCACCCCCAGACGCAGCACCCCCAGACGCAGCACCCCCATACGTAGGACCTCCAGGCTCCTCACACGCAGGCTCAGCAACTCCAGGCTCCGTACCCTCAGGCCCCTCACGCCCAGCGCCCCCAGACTCAGCACCCCCACGCTGCACACCCCCAAGCTCCGCACCCCCAGGGACAGCACCACAACCAGCAGGACCGGAGTCACCAGTGACCTCAACAGGCGCAGGGACGGGAGGGTCTACATGAGAAACACCTGAAGGAGCAGGACCTGGCGCGGGGAGGGGGTCTACCTGGGGAGGACCTGGGGCAAGAAAGAGCGGCAGGAGAGGGCG